AAAATAATTAAAAAAAAAAGAATTTTATGGAAGGCTGTTCAGATATCTCAGCAGACTAAAGCGCCTGCTTAGGCAGAGCACAGTGGCTGGGGTTCGACCCCTGACATGCCATACTGGCCCCACCCTCGGGGTGCGCTGAGACAGTGACCAAGACTGGACCTGGTGGCACATGCCTGTAATCGCAGCTCTTGGGAGGCTGGAAACAGGAGAATCACTAGGAGTCCGATCTATGTAGTGAGACCCTATACACTCTGTAAACCCTGTCCTAAATACATTTAAAAAAGGAAGAATTTTATGAACTGGGTTCATTGTTATGTGCCTGGTCTACTAGCTACCCAGAAGGCTGAGGGAGTACAATTGCAAATTCAAGGCCAACCTGGGCAATTTAAGTTTTTTGAGACAGGGCCTTGCTGTGTAGTTCAGGATGGCCTTGAATTCACTGTGTAGCCCAGGCCAGCCTCAGACTCAGAGTGATGCTCCTGCCTCAGCCTTCTGAGTGCTGAGATTATAGGCACGTGCCTACCGCACCTGGCCAGTTTGGGCAATTTAGCAACACCCTGTCAGGTGAAGTCCCCACCTCCCCAGAAGGACACTCGAGTGTGTGGCACCCTCTTACTCCTGCTTTTAGACATTTGCTGCATAGAACACAAGTGCGCATCCATTGCTCTGAGTGTTTAAATCTTCCCTGCCATAGAGCCAGGTGTGATGGCGCACGCCTTCATCGCAGCACTCGGGAGGCTGAGGCAGGAGGATCACAAAAGTTTGAGGCTGCTGTGGGTGTGCAGCATGGTGCCAGCTACAAATGGATTCTGTGCTGTAAAACTGGGGTACCCTTGGAGTAGGTGGGAATGCAACAGTGTAGCCAGGCCAGAAGTCGGGGTGGGGGTGGGCAGCACTCCGAGACTGCAGATGCCTAGATCGAAGGTCTGGGGCTCCAGCTTCACTTAGGCGAGGGGCCAGTCAAAGGGCCTGGTGTGCACAGGTGCGGAGAGGGCGTTGAGATTTCCGAGTCCCACGCAGCGTGCTGGGGACATCGAGGCAGGCAGAGCTGATGGCGTTAGCACCCTGCTTCTGGGGAAGTGCTGCGCTCCATCCTGGGACTGACTTTTTTTTTTTTTTTTTGGCAGAACCAGGGATTGAACTCAGGCCCTTGCACTTGCCAGGCAAGTGCTCATTCTGCTGAACTATCTCCTCGGCCCCAAGGACTGACTCTTTAAAAAGATGCCAGGCGGCTGCACCGTTAGGGGACAGTGACCTCAGTGTCCATTCACAGATGGAGCTCACTTAACCCTACACGGGGTGTGTGGGAGGAATGTGGGTGGCTGTGCCGTCCCTGTGAACCTGGTAAGAGCTGTGTCGTGAGACACCTCGTGTGTCCTTCCCTCGCCTCTTGGTGGAGAGGAGGTACTGGGAATCAAGATTCTGGCCATGTTGTGCCCAGAGGGTATACCTGGGAGGCTGAGGCAGGACGATGGCCAGTTGGAGTCTAGCCTGAGCAATGTAGGAACTCAGGGAGACCCTGTCTCAAAGTAGAAAGGGCTGGGGATGCAGCTCAGTGTGAAGGCCGAGGTTCAACCCCAGAGCCACGAAAGCAAAGAAAGGGAGAAAGCAGCAGTGGTCTTGTGTGCTGCATCTTATTAGCTCAAAGGCCTTGCCTGGCATGTGTGTTGCTCTGAAATGGGTGTGATTTTACTCAAGACAGGAGCTTCCTGGCAGGCTACAGTCACTTCGCCAGTTGGCCCCTTGCTGTGCAGCATCTCCTCCACTTTGGGGATCTGCGTGGCCTTGAACTCCAGAGACTCTCCTGCCTCAGCCTCCTGAGTGCTGGGATGACAGGGGTGTGCCCAGCAAGCTGCTGTGTTCTTTATCCTAATGCCATGACGCTGTTACGCCACCCCTCCCCCCACAAGATCACAACACACTGACAAGCACTGCTGGTCAGGGTTGCATGGCCAGCCCTGTTTCTGGTGCAGCTGGGGTTTGTTGTCCGCTGAGATGGAGTAGGGTGGGTGGAGAATAACCCCTGCCTGGCCTTTCCTGAGTCAGTCACCACTGTGCTGGGCTCAGCCCTGGCCCCACTTTCCTTCCTCTCTGCTCCCCTGTGCGGATTCTTTTTTTTTTTTTTTTTTTTTTGCAGAACCGGGGATTGAACTCAGGTCCCTGAACTTGCCAGGCAAGCGCTTATTCTGCTGAGCTGTTTCCCCAGCCCCCTGTGTGGATTCTTGGCAGTGAACATTTTTATTTCCTCCAGGACAGCCTCCTACTCCTTTCATCTGGGGTGGCCTGGTCCTCCACTGTCCACCCCCTTTCGTGTGCTGTGTTCCCAGATTGTCACTTGCAGCCCCTGCGTGGCTCGTAGCTGAGCCCTGACAGCTGGGGCTGTGGCTGCTGCGTGCGGGAGCAGGCATGACCTGCCAGGGCAGTGCAGTTTAAACCCAAATTTAGAAGGAGAGAAAACAGACCCAAATGTTCCTTTATGGCAGCGGCAGCCGTGGATGTCTGGCTTCGACCGCACTGGAGGTGACCTTTCCTTCTAGGCTCGCAGGGCTTCAGGTCAGTGTTTGCTGGGATGGGCTGTCTGCTGTCACCTGGCTGGTGCACGTGGCCCCTGCAGGGTGTCGCCTTGGACACAGCGATCTCCACCCAAAAGCTGAAACTGAGTTAATTTCCTTCACCATGACTTGCCGTAAGTCATCACTTCCCTCCGCTTGCCCTACGATTCTAGGGCCAACGCCACTTTTAAAAAGATACCTTTTTTCACCTTTTGAATATAATTAACCGGGCATATTATCACACTCCTGTCATCTCAGCACTTGGAGGCTGAGGCATGAGGAGCGCTGTAAGTTCAAGGCCAGCCTTGATTTCATAGTCAGACCTTGTCTCAAAACAAAATGAAATCAGGGGCTGGTGAGATGGCTCAGTGGTCTAAAGCACCTATTTAGAACATGCTTAGCAAAGCACAGGGACTGCGGTTCAATCCCCCAGCACCACATGCCAGCCAGCCCCGCCCCCTGGTGGACTGAGCTGCACCCCCCCACAAATAAATAAATAAAACATTAAAAAAAAATGAAATCAAACCAAAGCAAACCAAACCAAAAACAAGAAACAAACTTTAACTCTTTTTTTAAAAAAGTTTTTAACAAACTTTAACCCTATCTAAGACACACAAAAGAAAAGAGAATAATGAACTCCCACATACGCATTTTATGGTTAAAAAATTAACACACTAACAGTTGTTTGATTTATACTCAAATATTTTTCTTTTCTCTGCCTGACTTTTTTTTTTTTTTGCAGAACCAGGGATTGAACTCAGGCCCTGGAGCTTGCCAGGCAAGCGCTTATTCCACTGAGCCATCTCCCTGGCCCCTCTGCCTGACTTATTTAAAGCAAATCTCAAGTATATCTTTTCATCCTCAGACACTTTTGTATGTGTCTCTAAAAGTGTTCTTTCTTTCTTTTCTTTTCTTTTTTTTTTTTTTTTTGCGGAACCGGGGATTGAACTCAGGCCCTTGCACTTGCCAGGCAAGCGCTTATTCTACTGAGCCATCTCCCCAGCCCCTAAAAACGTTCTTTCTTGAAAAAATGTAACAATAATATTATTGTCACATGTGGCTGGCCTGGTAGCACATTCTGTCATTTCAGCAATCAGGAAGCTGAGGCAGGAGGATCCGTGCAAGTTTGAGTCCAGCCTGAGCTACATAGTGAGACCCTGTTTCAAAACAAAATATGTTATCAAATGTAAATTATAAAGTAACAGTAGCTGTGCTCATGAAACAGAACAGATTACCAGAATTCAGCTAGTGCTGAGGAGACAGGTTTTGGATCCCCTAGGGCCCATGCTCCTGAAGACCTCAGGGACAGTGAGAAGAGACATAAGAATTGGATGAACAAGTGCAGACATATTATTTAAGCCCAGAACTCTTCAGGAAGAAATTTTTATGCTGTTTTTGTTGGGTGTGGGGTTTTTTTTTTGTATTGGCATTGAGTCCAGGATCTTCATACTGAGCTACATTTTTATTTTGAGACAGGGTCTTGCCAAAGTTGCTAAGTTTCCAAGGCTGGGCTCAGACTTGTGATCCTCCTGTCTCGGCTTCCTGGAGTGCTGGGATCACAGGTGTGCACCACCACCCTAGACTTAAACTGGCTTTAAAAAGTCTTACATGACACTGACGTGACCTCTTGGCGTGATCAGCACACATAGGGCTGTTTCCCCGGCACAGCCCTCCTAGTCAACGTACCCCACTTGACCGCTGGCACTGGGTACCTGTGCAGCAGCTCTGTCTGCCTCCCCTCCTTCCAGGCAGAGCCGAAATTCTTCTTTTCCTATGATATTTTGAGATAGAGTCTTTCTGTGCAGCCCAGGTTGGCCTTGAACTTACAGCGTTCGTCCTGTCTCAGCCTCCCTCCCAAGGGCTGGGCTCACGCGCTTGTACCAGGTCTGGCTTCCTATGCTTTGTAGGTATCCGTAGTGCATGCCTCCTGGTCTCATGCCGTCCCCTTGCAGAATGACAGGCTGTCCAGATACCTGGTAGTGATACAAGAACATTTGTGTCTCCTGTGAGAGGTTCGGCCCTGGCTGCAGACTGGCACTACCCCTTGTCTGGACCAGCCTGGGTGTGGAAGAGCCGGGTCTCTGCCACTCAGGCAGTGTCCCAGGCTGGGGGCTGACCCACTCGCCCACATATCCCTATCCTCTCTCCACCTGCCTCCTCTTATGCCTCGTGTGCCACCATGCCCGGCTTCTAGTTATGTTTGTGTGCAATTGATCACTATTCATCTGGTGGTCAATATAAAATAAGGACCAGGCATGGTGGTGCACTTGGGAGGCAGGAGGATCTCCACAAGATCAAGGCCAACCAGGGCTCCATAGTGAGTTTGAGGTCAGCCTGGACTACATAGTGAGACCCTGTCTCAGAAACCCCCCTCCCAAAACCATCACAACAAAATCAAAACAAAGAGACCCCCTCCCAAAAGAAGTGTGCGTAGCCGAGGAGCCTCCTGTCAGGGAGGAAGAGAGTGACATGCCAATTCTTCAGGGTAAAGGGCCGGCCCATCCGGTGTGCGTTCTCCAGGTGGCTTCTGGGTGGGACCTTACAGAGACCACGAGGTGGATCTCACCGGGCAGCAAATGCATCCGCACAAACCCCAGCTGGAATATTCCCAGGGACCCAGGTGGCTCCAGAGGGCACCAAGGGCCTCAAGGGTGCGCTGAGGGTGGCCTGTTCCTCACGGAATCCAAGCCAGCACCTCCGTATCCTGCTGGCACCAACCTCTGACTGCTCAGGGCAGCTGATGGCCCTTCCTGCCTCAGTTTCCCTCTCCGTTAGCCTTGTGGAAGGCTTACTCCCCTGTGCACTGCAGTTGCTGGTTGAGGGACAAATGTGAAATCTTGTCCTGCTCTGGCTGGCCTCGAACTTCTGGCAGTGCGCCTGCCTCAGCCTCCTGAGTGCTGGAATGACAGTGAGTGCTTTCAACAAGGACTCGCCCTCGGCACCTGGAGCAGAGCGACTGAGGCAGCACGCTGGGCCCTACCGCTGTGTCAGAAGAGCAGGTCACAGACACCAGTGATCCAGCTTCGTAAGCACCAGGCATTTTTCTCACTTTTTATCTCCAAGATCGGAAGGTAATGATCGGCAGAAATCTTTTCCAAATCTATCCAAAAAAGACAAGGATTTATTTAAGTGTGGTGCCACGTGCCTGTGACTCCAGCACTCTGGGTGGCTGAGGCAGGAGGAATGCAAATTCCAGCCCAGCCTAGGTGACTTAATGACTTGGCAAGGCTCTGTCTCTCTCTCTCTCTCTCTCTCTCTCTCTCTCTCTCTTTCTCTCTCTCTCTTTTAAATGTGTTTAGTACAGGATCTATAGGGTCTCACTACACAGATCAGACTACTAGTGATCCTCCTGTTTTCAGCCTCCCAAGCACTGGGATTACAGGCACATGCCACCATACCCAGTCTCAATCACCATCTCATCTCAGCGCATCCTGGGGGCGAGGGACCAACTTGGCACACTGGGGATGGAACCCTGGTCCCTGCACTCTGCCTAAGCAGGTACTTTAGTCCGCTGAGCTGTCTGACTAGCCCTAAGGCTCTGTCTTAAAGTAAAAATATAAAGAGGACTGGGGACGTAGCTCAGTGCAAAGGTCCTGGTTCTATCCCCCTGTACTGAAAAAAATCAATCTTTTCTCTTACTGCTTGAGAATTAACCTGCCTCCAGCCAGGTGTGGTAGTGCGTGCCTGTAACCCCAGCACTTGGAGGCTGAGACAGGAGGATTGCTGTGAGTTCAGAGCTGCTGCTTCCTGCACAGCTCTTGACGTTCCCAGGGTGAGGATGGAGAGAAAAGGACACGAGCTGGGATACAGAAAGCTGAGGTCAGATGGAACCCTCTCTCCTGATGGGAAGGAAGGAGGAGGAAGAGGAGGAGAAGAAGCTCCAGGGCTGCAGCACCTGGGAGGTTGACACTCACGTCCACCTCCACCCGACAGCCCGTCCACATGGCTTGTCTCAGGCAGTCTGTGTTGTGGAGACAGGAGCAGCTTACCCGTGTGGCCTCCTCAGGTGCTGTGTTCTTAGGGTGGCCTTGCTTGGGCTCCAGCTTCAGCCGCTCCACATGCAAGACCAGCCTTGATTACAGAGGGAGACCCTATCTCAGAAAATAAGAAACAAAATTTAACCTGCCTGTTGGACCTTGAAATTGGTGAACATTCATGGAGCTCGACTCTGGGGAGTGAGGAACGACCCCTCTGGGGCTCATGGGCTTGTAGCGGGGACCTGCAGCCGAAGGCAGAGTTTATGTCCTTCCTGGGCGCCCAAATGCAGTGAAGCCACTCGCTATCTTTTTGGAAGAGAAACCACCAGTGATAACCTGGGAAAATAAAGGGTGGCGGCAGGGTCTTTGTGACCTAGAACTGGGCAAAATACTTCTAATCAGCATGGCCAAATGGCCTCAGACCTGGATGCCTGGGTCCTGGGGTGGGGGGTGGGGTGAATCCACCCCCCCTCCCCCCGTGGGCATTTACGCCACCAGGCAGAGATGGGAGGCTAAGCTCAGTTACAGCCCGACTGTGGCTTTTCCCTTTTCTGCTTGCTTTCTCTCTCTCTCTCTCTCTCCCTCCCTCCCTCCCTCCCTTCCTTCCTTCTTGTTTTTTTTTTCTTTCTTTCTTTTCGGTATTTTGAGGCAGTATCTTGCTATGCTACCCAGGCTGGCCTTGAGTTCCTGGCAAACCCCCTGCCTCAGCTTCTTCCATGCTGGAATTACAAGTCAGCATTACCATGCCCAGTTTTATTTTCAGTATGAATAATTCTGTCTCTCTCTCTCTCTCTCTCTCTTATTTATTTATTTATTTTTTTTGCGGAACTGGGGATTGAACTCAGGCCCTTATGCTTGCCAGGTAAGCACTTATTCTACTGAGTTATTTCCTCAGCCCCTGTTAGTATAAATAATTCTCAAATTATCCTTTATAGAGCACCTATGTATACCAACATCGTAAGAAGTGCTTCACCACTCTGACAACCCCATGATCAAATTTCCTTATTTTGGGGCTGGTGAGATGGCTCAGTGGTCTAAAGCACCTACTTAGAACAAGCTTCGCAAAAAAGCACAGGGACCATGGTTCAATCCCCCAGCACCACATGCCAGCCAGCCCCACCCCCTGGTGGACTGAACTGGCCACACACACAAATAAA